TTTTATATAATGAATCACACTATATAGTGAAGTTTTTTGCCAAAACAAACTCTTCCTTATATCGAGCGCCAACTGTACTCGGATCCAAAACCATTGTGAGCATTTATTCTTTTTATTATGTCATTTACTAATATTTGTATCTTCTTCATGTAATTCTCCTCCACTCCTTTTATTAATCCATTGCTGGATTGTTACTACCGTTTTCTTTCTTGGATTGGTTTTACGTTGATGTAAATCTTTGCAGCGGAGGCAGCAATTCCCCCCTTTCCTTCTCCACATAACTTACGAATTTCAATGACTGTTTCACTAGACAAAAGGTCTAGACCTAGCTAGCTAACCTTTTTATCAAATCATTGCTTGAAATCCTTTCACATATTTTCAATTTCTTCTGAATTTTTTAATTGCTAGTTGATTGGTTTGATTGGTTTTGATCTTGATTAAAAATAATGATAATCATTTAAATGAAATCAAAAAGATAAAAGAGAGTCTCACCAATTATTACGATTGTTTCTTTACGTTAAATATACCCGATTAAATACCAATAATAGCCATTATTCATTTAAATATACAGTATCTAACTTCTTTATAAATTTTTGATTTTTTATTCAATAATAAATAAATAAATAAATAAATAATAAATTTATTAAACTTACTTGAGAATAGGCTTAAAACATTTTTCACTAATATTAGCTTCCTTAACAATATAATATCCATTTTCTTTTGTTGCATCATTTAATACATTGTTAAAAAATGGACAATGAGCAGATATGATAGATGCATGTGCATGAACTTCTTTAATGTTTGGTTCTACACCAAGATATATTCTTACATCATAAAAATTTTCTGTATTTAATAATCTTTCATTTTCATTGAAATATTTTTCCAAAATTGTTGAATCCATTTATTTTTTAAAAAAATTGAATGGCCAATCAGGTGTTACGTTCATATATTTTTTTAGGTGTGCAATTATAACTTTCCTTTTTTGTTAACAAGATATTGCAGAAACAGGAGCAGTGCGCCATCCTCAAGAACAGTCACCTGGTATCATCAAGCCTACTTTGTTAAAAATTATATACATTTATTATTATTAACATAATCAACGTTACAATATAATGAATAAATATGTCTAGTATCATATCAATGTTAGTCGGGTTGCTTTTCCTTATTATTATTATTATGTAATTTTAGGTAACACGATCAAAGGAAATAAAGAAAAGTTTATCACATAAGCTTTATTAATATTAATTATATACAATAAGTATTTTCATCTCCCGTTATTTAAT